AGAAAGAAAGAAAGAAAGAAAGAAAGAAAGAAAGAAAGAAAGAAAGAAAGAAAGAAAGAAAGAAAGAAAGAAAGAAAGAAAGAAAGAAAGAATACTTTTATTGGGGGGGGATGCTGCACATCCACATGCACCTCACTTGCATATGCCTGAGGCGAGTGCTGGATGCCGTGGAGCTGAAGTGACGGCAGCTGTGAGCCACACAAGTCTCAAGCAAAAAGGAAAAATTAAATTTGTGTGTGTGTGTGTGTGTGTGTGTGTGTGTGTGTGTGTGTGTGTGTGTGTGTGTGTGTAGGCATGTATATGTATACAAGGTACTTTCCTGGAGGTCAAAGGACAACTCTTTCTGCCATGTAGGTCCTGGGACTCAGGTCATCAGGCCCAGTGACAAGCCCCTTTACCCACAGAGCCACCCTGATAGTTTAAGTAGCATTTCTTCATGATTAAATGTGGACTTGAACTCTCTCCAGATACAGTGTTAGCCAGAGCTATGGCTGCCTGCCGGGAGGCTTACTTTAACCCGATGAGCGTAACAATTTCTACAGGTAAACAGATGAACTGACTGTTAGGTCTGCCTCGGGCCATTTCTGTGACCCCTGCCGGAAGTATAGCTTTCTAGAGCCCCGGCTCTTCCTGCTCTTCCTGATCCCTTGGTTCTCTAAAGCTTGAGCCAGCCATCTGGTTCTCCCCCCTGCTTTAGACAGCGCACCTGGCAACCCTAATCCAGAACACAGGAGAATTCTGCACAATGCCTAGGACAATTTGTATGTACATTCTAGCACTCAAGCCTACTAAAGCAATCCTCGGAAACTCTAGGGAGTGACTTCTAGGAGGAAGGTACGGGTTAACCAGTGAGCTGACCCAGACTGACATGTCTAAGTTTCTGGTGCAGGTAACTGAACCCAGGGCCTCCCACATGCTGGGTAAGAGCTCCACCATTGAGCTACCCCTCCTCCCCAACCTCCAATGACAGTTAAGAAGCAGAGACATTGCCAGCCTGGTCTTCACAGTTCCAGACCAGCCAGGGTGACATAGTGAAACCTCATCTCAAACAAACACCCACCAAGAGACAGAAAGAAAAGTGGTGAAAACACAGGGGGAAAGTGCGAGTCTCCTGAGCCCGCGTCAGTGGAGAGGTTCAAGACAGCAGCAGCCTCTTCCTGGCTACAGCTTCACACACATCTGCACACATCCTAGCAGGCGGCAGGATTTCCAGTCATCGGACATTTGAAAACTTTAACACAGAGTTTTACAATGTACAGCTAGGAGAAAATAAGACCCGACAAGTTCAAAGACTTGCCCAGGTCACACAGCAAGTTGAGAAGAACCTCAATAGGGCCCATGATTTTCCATCACACTGAGCGAACTCCCACTGAACTAGAACAGAAGTACCCCACGGCCTAACCTTACCAACCTCACGTCCTCACTGTCTTCCACACCGTCCTTTACAAGAACATCTGTGAGACAATGGCAAACACTGGCTGATAACCTGGCTCATGAGCTACAATGTCACTGCCTTGGCACTGGGAACTGAAAGCCACATGCGTTAGAGAGCGTCAACACGGCTTCCTTGTCTATGAGGAAATGAGCTGCCCAAACTGCCTCACGGAACTGCTTAAAGTGACAGACAGACAATACACACTGAACTGGCAACCCAACCGCTGACTAAAAAGGCAAGCCTTCTGCTGCTTTTTCAGGATAGGCAGATCTGGCCTCAACTCTCTTCTCAAGTGACAATGGATTTGATCAACACAGCCTCCAGGAGCTGCCTGGTGACTCCTTTGTGAGGTCAATGACGTTAGTTCCTAGTGGGCCAAGTGCTCGGTGGACAAGGCTTCAGAAGGCAGCGAAAGTCCTCACTGCTTCTGGCCCTAGTCCTGCCCAGCGAGAAGTATGACTGGCAGACAACTTTACCTCACTCTCCTCAAACTTCTCACATATAGAAATGGGGAGGGGGGGTCACACTGGCTGCACCCAGTCCCTTCTAGACATAAAATTTACTAGAGATGACAATTTACCAAGTAAACTGGTGGCTCTAAAGTTACAGGCTTACTGCAAAGGAAACCAAAGGTACTCCTAATCCCACAAGCTGCAGGAAGACTCGGGGAACAAAGTGCTATTGGCGGACGGCTACTCACTTGCTCGACCTGGGGACCACCATCTCTGCGAGCGTTTCATACTGCTTAACCCAGTCATTGTGGTTCAGCCTGCAGAAAAGGCACAGGAAGCGTGGGGGATGAGTCTTACTTCTGCCATGCCCAGGAAGAGAAAACACGGACAGATAGGAAACGTGGCTCCAATAAAATACATCACAGATATGTAGCGAACCCCCAGCCTCCTACTGAGAACATGCCTCACCTACAGAGTGAAGCAGGAAGTACTGATCACCTGCCTCCCTCAGAGCTAGTAACTGTCGCAACAGAGGCTCAGCCAAGAGCCTGGTTTGGTAAGGGGGCAGAGTCTCTGTTCTTAAACTGCATGGTTGAAAACCACACCTCATTTTAAAAACAGAAGAGGCCGTGGGCAATCACTACCCTTGGCGGTCAGTACAAAGGGCTGACTCAAACTCTATGTACAGAAAGAGGCAGCATCTCCCCGGGAGGCAGGAGGAACCAAGTGGCAGTAACTGATGCTGCCCCAGAACACTGTGCACCAGCTTTCGGGAAAGGCCACTGGCTTTGGGGACGTGGAGAGACAACTATGTGTGATTTACAATAAAGTGTTTGTAGGCATGGCTAATTCATTATGTAAAGTGACCTACAGGGCTCCTGTCTCCAAAAGCTGAAATTTTCTAAACATAAATTTTAAAGAAAGCTAAATTAAAAAAATGTGGGCAAAGATTATTTTCCTGAAAGCTATAAAATCAAAGATAAATAGAAATTTTGAATAATGTGTTCCAATGTGTCAGTAAACAAAATCTTCTTTGTTTGTGTATCACTGTGGCCGCTTCAGCCCTAACAACCAATGGACATGGCAGAGCTGAGCAGTTATGACAGCTGGTAGAGCCGTCAAGACTATGCAGCCCTTGAAAACACAGTCTTCATCTTTTCTCCTTTTGGTTTTTTGAGACAGGGTTTCTCTGTGTAGCTCTGGTTGTCCTGGATCTCACTCTATAGGCTCGGATTAGCCTAGAACTTGCAGAGATCTGCCTGCCTCTACCTTCAAGGGCTGGGATTAAGGGTTTGCCCCATCACCGCCCAGCTCACATTCTTTATTCTTATAGGGCTCAAGTTCAAATATTTTTCAGAATAACAAATTCAATGGCCTGATTTTGAAAAATCTCAAGTATGTATTTTTAAAAGTTTAGTAACAAAATTATTTGTCAGCCAAGCCTACCAATTTATAACTGATGTCTCCACTACAACATTATGAACCAAATTGTGCTGTATATGCCACATGAACAAATGTTTTGTGCTTGATTTTCAGGGACTCTCTGGTAACAGACATACTTGGGGACTACCACCAGTAGTGTGACCAGGTACTCTGAGTCAAGAACAAAGTCATCTTTCTTCACGATCTCTGCCAGGCTCCGAGTCAGCAAACTTCCCCTGGAGGATGAGAGGAGAGTCACTGGTGGAAAGTGCACACTTCCACGGCAAAGGGAAAGAAAGGGGCTAAACACACGTCATAAAGGCTCAGGGCTTAAGAGTTCTTGTTCTTGCAGAGGACCCAGGTTCAACACCCATGCGGAGGCTCAGCTACAAGGGATCTGACACCCTCCTCTGACCTCCAAGGACACCAGGCACACATTTGATGCACAGACATAAACACAGGCAAAACCATCATACACCGAAAATAAAGTTTTTAAAATTTTATTTAAAAAGTCAACAGTTAGCCAGATGTATCCTACCCCTGCAACTTAAGAAGTATCAATGTTTGCCAGAATTTCCTCTAATGTCTAACTTTGTGCTCATTTTAATTACTGTAACTCAGCCCTTCTCATAATTACATACCTTGACTGAGAAAGTACTAGTCGTCAGATACCAGTCTACTTCACTGCAATCATGAAATTTTGTCATCTAAGCACAACCTGTTTCTTCTCCCTTCTCTCCCTAGATATCATGTGATACCAGACAATTTTGGTTAATTAACACAATACAATAATCAACCTTCAAATCAGTTTTCATTTGGTCTTCCAGTCATGAAAATGCTTGTCTATGCATGGACTATGACACAACTCTGAACAGCTCTGCACCTGACGCTACACGCGGCGGCTGACAGATGCTCAGCAGTTGTGAGCACTTGCCGAACCAACCGTGTGGACGGAGTTCAGACACCAGCGTCCGTCCGTGTAAGGGGCTGTGCACAATCACGCACATGCCTAAAATCAAGAACTGAGGGGCGTGGGGACAGGGTGACCCGAGGCCCGAAGAGGGTGCCAGAAGAGGGGACCTGATGAGTTCCTCTGCCCTCCATGCAAAGGTGTGTGCACCATTCACTCACACACCACACTCACACACATGTAAAATAAAAACTGAAATGAAAAACTTCACTTGTGTCTGTCCGTCCCCCACCCCACCCCCCTTGCAGTGACACTACAAGGAGGTCAACCAACCACGGCCGCAATGCTTGTGAAACCTAGACTGGAGAGGAGAGAGCAGACATCACCGCTACAGCACAGACAGGTGTTACATAAACATCTTTTAAGTGGCAGGTGATCGACAAGCAATAACTGACTTGATTTAAAATAATTTTACACCTTCTTCAGTGAGATATCAAGTGGATAAGGAAATAAGCCAGCGTCCAGGTGGCAAGTAAATTTATGAGAAAGTTTAGTGAATCAGCTTCACATCTGTTTGAATTGCTCAAATTCTGTAAAATTAGTGAACTTTCTCCATGAAAATTTTTAAAAAAATCACTAAAAAGTATCTTTGTGTATGCCATGTGTGTAGGAGCCTGCAGTTAGGAGAGGGCATCCGATGCCCAGAAATGAAGTTACAGACAAGCACGGGAACCACGTCAGGTCCTCTGCAAGAGCGGCCAGCACGCTCTCCAGCTCCCTCCAACCACTGGTTACAGACACAGCACAGACTAGAACCTTCTAAACCCCAACGGGGCCCACAAAGGCTTGAGAGCTTACGCATTCTTTCGCTCCAAATTCTGAAGGTTTCCTTTCAGGTTGTTGTATGCAGACGCTCGAGATTTCAGGTCATTATCAATCTGAGTTACTCCCTTCAAAAGAGAAGAGAAAGAGACACGCTCTCCCTAGGTTTGCCCCGACCAACACAATTTAAATAGTTTCTGATTCAGAGTAGTGGTTACATTAAACGTACAACTTTAAAAGGGCATTTAAAAAACCAAACTTTGTTTTTAACAAATTTCCACATGAATCTTTCATGCTCTGTTAGTCTCTGTAGTTAACTGCTATTGTCATATTACTTCTTAAACCAAGAAAAAGGACCCCAGCTCACCAGATTTGAAGATTACTAATCAAAAAGCCTCAAGGCCAGATGTAGTGGCACACACCTTTAATTCCAGCACTCAAGAGGCAGAGGCAGGAGGATCTCTGTGAGTCTGAGGCCAGGCTGGTCTGTGAGTTCTAGGACAGCCAGGACTACAGAGATACCCTGTCTCAAAAACAAAAACAGAGGGAAAAAAAACCTAAAAAGTATTTCATAGCTATCACACACACACACACACACACACACACACACACACACACACACTCCATACATACAGATATATAATTTAAACAATTCTTCTATAAATCAGTGTGTCCCACCTGCCTAAATTTTCGTCTTACCTTGGCAATTATTTCGGAAATATTTTTCAGAGATTGCTTGATTGGGTATTTGGCCATGTCCCACTGGAACCTTGTTATGTAAGTAACCAAGTCAACTGAAACAAGGTAATGGATTAATTACTAAAGAAAAGTTATAGTATTTTTTTGTCCTGGAACTCACTCTATAGACCAGGCTAGCCTCAAACTTAGAGGTCCATCTGCCTCTAACTCCTGAGTGCTGGGACTCAAGGTGTGTGCCACTATACCCGACTGTTCTTGTTCTTGTTGATTTTAAAAGATTTATTTATTTATTATGTATACAGTGTTCTGCTTGCATATATGTCTGCATGCCAGAAGAGGGCACCAGATCTCGCTGTGAGCTATCATGTGATTGCTGGGAATTGAACTCAGGACCTCTGGAAGAGTAACCAGCGCTCTTAACCTCTGAGCCATCTCTCCAGCCCCAAGGCTGTTTGTTTTTTAACATAGGCAAAGATATAATTTCTGAAGGGTCCCAATTAAATAAATGTGAATGAGATCAGAAGAACACTGAAATTAAGATTTATTTTTTAATCATGGATATAAGGTGGGGGGCAGGTATGTCCAGATGAGGGCAGAGCAGATTCCCTGAAGTTACAGGAGTTGTGAGCCATCCAATGTGTGCCAGGAAATGAACTTATGTCCTCTGCAAGAGCAGTATGTGCTCTTAACCACTGAGCCATCTGTCTAGCTCCAGAACAGCAGATTTATTTATTTTTAAGTAGTATTGTTGGGTGTAGTGGTACACACCTTTAATCCCAGGCAGAGGCAGGCAAGCCCAGCCCAGTCTATTTAGCAAGTTCTAGGCCAGCCAGAGCTACATAGTGAGAGACTGCCTCAAAAATAAACAAAATGATAATAATTAACTAATTCAACAATAATGAGATCGAAGTATTCTGTACAAAGCCATCAATATCGAGAACAGGCTCAATATAAATTATTAACTTACAGCTGCAGACATGTACATTAGTGGTCTATTTTATGAGCACTCAGAAAAGCAATATTCTAACTTGAGGGGAACGAGGCATTACTCTGTAATAAAATCAACCATTCCTGGTTCTATTAAGTAGAAAACAGGAGCATCTAACTGCAATAATGCTGAGATGCTCAGCTTTACGTCAAGAGTCGTTCCAGACAGGAGACCACACGCTGCACCTTACACTACATTCTGTATCACCTAAGAGTGACATGAATTATGTTCCAGGGGACAGATGTAACATCACCAGTAGTAACCTCACAGCTTTCTAGTAAAGTAGCATCCTCATCTACGGGTTTCTACATCCTTTTGGCTTATGTTTCTGAGCCGCTCACATTACACATTAATCATTACAAATCACAAAGGATCAGCTCACCTCCACTGGCCAACAAGTTCTCCTGAACTTTATCTTTACTGTCCTCCAGCACATCAGCCATATACTGAGCCACTTTCTTGACCACGCTGGGAAGTAAAAAACACACACAAAAATCATCATTTGTAGGAAAAAACCTTCCATTCATATATAATGAATCCTATCTTATATAAAACATTTAAAGAATAAAGTGGACCAAGGTCTGGTTCTATGAAAAATCAACTGTGTAACTGTAGGGTTTTATAGGGACTGAATGCAATGTGTTTATCAATCTAGAAAGAAAGTCATGCAAACTGGTCATGACAGCACACCCTTGTGAGGTGGAGGCAGGAGGATCAGAACTTCAAGACCACCCCCTGCTGAACATGGAATTACAATCCTAAAAGGAACGTACTACTTTCTTCCTCCTTGCTTTTCCACTCTAAAAGGGCAAGCTCTTGACTTCATTTTAGGCTTTCCCCCAAGTTGGTTTTCTGACCCAGGGTCTCATTATACAGATCAGGCTGGACTGAAGAGGCATCTTCACGCCTCAGCCTCTCAAGAACTGGGCAACAGGTATGTGGCGCTGTCTCCAGTAATGCATCTCCTCACTGAGCTACACAACTGTTCTCCTACAATAGGCTTCCTGCCTTTAGTATGACAGAGCACCAATACCACACGGTGACTATGGTGGTGTACAACCCCAGCCCCAGCCTCTGAAGCTGAGGCAGGAGGCTCATGCTGAACTGGAGGCCAGGCTGGGCTCAATAGTGAAATCCTGTCTCAAAACAAAAGCAAGGGGCTGCAGAGACAGAGACTTAGCAGGTATGAAAACACACTCCAGAGAACCCTAGTTCAGTTTCCAGAACCCCAGTCAGGTGGCTCACAACCTAACTCCAGCTCCCAGGACCTAAAGCCGTCTCTGGCCTCCTCAGGCGCCTGCACTCACATCACACATGCACACACTGACAACACACATATACATAAATAAACAAATAGAATACTCCACACATCATCAGTTAGAGTAACGAGAATGAGAATCAGGATGTGGCCAGTCATGGCGAGCCGTTGGTCTCAACACTTGGGAGGCAAGGGCAGGAGGATCTCTATTAAGTTTGAGGCCAGACTGGTCTACAAGTTCTAAGCTACCCAGGGCTACAAAGTGAGACTAAAAACAAACAAACAAAAAACAACAACAAAAAAAAAGAAATCCCAGAATGAGATACTGCTTTGTACCCACCAGGAGGGTTAACAAAGTATCCATTAACAGTTGGTCCTGGCACAAACGCAGCAAAATTAAATGGCTTCAGCGCTGACCACACCTGTATGCCCAGTACCAGGGAGACTGAAGCAGGGCTGTTCTAAGCTCTGAACCAGCCTGGGCTACAGAGCATGTTCCAAGGCAGCCTGAGCTACAGTGTGAAACCCTGTCTCAAAAACCAAAAACACAAACCCTGACAATGCAAATATGAATTGGTACAGCCACTTTTAAAACAACTCCCCAGAAAAGAACCAAGGAACCGAGTCCATTCCCAGGGAGACATACACTCAAGAGAAATAGTAATAGAGCACACAAAAAATACATAAGCCAAAAAGAGAATAAACTAAATGTGCACCAGCTGATGGGTTAATAAAACATATAATGGAGTATTTGATAATAATGAACATAAGGGAATAGTATTTGTTAATAAGAGGGAATAAGCTGGGCAAGGTGGCACATGCTTGCAATCCCAGTGAGGGGAAGCAGACAGGAGGATCCTAGGCTTGCTGGCCAGTGGCTTCCCCAAATCTGCTGTCCCACAGGTTCCAATGAGAGGCCCTGTATCCTGGCCACTGTGTACACCTGCACACACATGCACCTACATGAACACACAGATACACATGTGCACACACACAAATATACACAAAACACTGATACACAAAGAAAAACAGTCATTTCCTACAGTCATTCAGCTAGCAGAGAGGACCCAGGGTCTGGAGAGACACTCTCCAGACAACCTGACACTGACCACAGACTCACTTTCTTCAATTCCACACATGCAGATACATTACCCTTCTACAAATGCATCCAGTTTAGCCAGTTCATCCGACAGGCCAACCAAGACATCCAACGTGCCAACCTAGAAGGGAAATTCAGCTGTCATCACTTTCATGTTTTATTGAAGGGCTCTGACACAGGTCTTACTACATGACCGAGGTGAACCCTGGACTGCCAATCCCCAGTGCTGGGATTACAGGCTCACAGCACCACATCTGGCTCCCTGGCTCCCACCTGCTCGTAAGAGGGGAGGAGCTGTGGGGGACCAGTCCTCACCTTTTCTAGAGTTCCTATGAGGAGGAGAGAGGAATAAGGAATGACAGATAGAATGATAGGCCTAGCAGACAAGAGGAAAGACAGAAACACAGGACAGCTTCAGGAGGGCCTGGATCAATATCCACTGGCCCAGAACTTTATTCAAAAGAGCTTTTTATAACAATGCCAAGGGGAGGGGCAAAAGACCTCCTCCTTGCTAGATACAGCAGAGTGTAGACCCTTCCAAACACCTGGTACCCAGGCCCATGGTCCAATTATCCTCTTATGCAGTTCTGTTGGGTAAAGCAAACTCAGACCTCACTAGGAAACCTATGTGGGCTTCCACAAGGAACTGTTTTTGTTTTGTTTTGAGACAGGGTCCCATCTAGTCTACAACGGTCTCAAACTTGGTATGTGGCCAAGGCAGGCCTTGAACTCCTGCTGACTGAGTGCTGGGTGGGATTACAGGCTTGTACCATCCTTCCTAGCTCGACACCCTTTTACCTTAAAAAAAAAAACTAGATGATGGCCTGGCGGTAATGGCACATGCCTTTGATCCCAGCACTCGGGAGCCAGAGGCAGGGGGATCTCTGTGAGTTCAAGGCCAGCCTGGTCTACAGAGAGAGATCCAGGACAGGTACCAAAACTATAGAGAAACCCTGTCTCGAAAAACAAAACAAAACAAAAACAAACAAACAAAAAACCACCACCAACAAAAACCCATAAAAAACTAGATGTTGTATCTTTATTGTAGGATCCACAAATCTTACATTCTCCACTTTTATTTCATAAAATATAGCAAAAACCAAAAAAAGTTTGCTGGACATTTAAGTGCAATTGTATGTATGAGTTAATTCTCTAAGTGGAAAGCAACACTCAGGCAATGGAAACTTGGCACTTAATGAGTAGGCCTGTGCTTGCTTTAAACAGGCCAGGGACAATGCAATGGTAACGTGAAGTCCTGCTCTACAACAGGGCCCTAGGTGGGTCTGTGGATGTCCACCAGGGCCTGGTGTTGAGTCTGTGTGTATAACTGTGTCTCAAAGATCATGCTTTGCAAGTAAAACACTGTTAGCCGGCTGGTGGCGCACGCCTTTAGTCCCAGCACTCAGGAGGCAGAGGCAGGTGGATCTCAGTGAGTTTTAGGTCAGCCAGAGCTACAAAGTGAGTTTCAAGATAGCCAGGGCTACACAGCGAGACCCTGTCTCAAAAGACAAAAAAAAAAAAAGAAGATAAAAGTAAAATGCTGTCTTCACAAAAGTTCAGTTAATATCCTAGCAGCCTGCTTCATATTACAACTGCTAGATTACAGGTCTTCAATAAATGTTAAATACATTTAATGGATGAAATAATGTCTAAGTAGGTACTGTGGTAACAGAATATAAACAATAACAAATATTACTGTGACATGTAAAAATACATAGTAAGGTCTTTCTCTTCTGAAAACCCCACTTGTGATCCAGCACATGGCTTCCTTGTAAGTTAGAAAACAGAAGAACAAGCTGTGACTTCTATGGTTTCCTTGTGACATCCAAAGACCAAGATCCACTCTAACATCAACAGCTAGAGAGGAATGACTTTCCTTCTCAAGGAACCTAGAAGTTCACTTCTGCCAAAACAAAGAGAGCCCTCCCCAGGTTACCCTGAACTCACTGCCTCCCCAGCTCCCCCACCCTGAACTCACAGCCTCCCCAGCTCCCCCACCCTGAACTCACAGCCTCCCAGCTCCCCCACCCT